CAGCCCCTCTCCTGCCCCGAGGGACCACCAGAACAGGGGGAGCCCAAAGGACTGGTAAAATGTGGTGCCACTTTCAGACGAGGATCACTTCTCCTCGGAAGCCGACGCCGCTGTCAGTGAGATGACCAGAGGCGCCGTCCTCGTGGCACAGGTCACAAATTACGACAGTGTCACGGGGCTGCCGCTGATCCAGCTGTGGAACCTGATGGGGGATGAGGTAGTGTCAATAAACAGGACTCTGGTGGAAAGAGGGTTTGCTCGGTGGCTTGACTACTAAAGATGTCCCAGATGCCTTGACAACTCTTTCTGCCGAGAAAAACAAAAGACAAAAATCTTGTTTTGCACTGTTACAATTTGGTTTGGCAACTTCCCTCGAGAAGACCCGTTTACACCTGCCCTGCCTGTGGAGTTTTGTGGTCCATTGAAACATGTTTTACTCAACTGTTACCATTTCAGTAGAACAGATACCTCATCTCCTGACAGGGGGTGTCCAAAGCCATAATGACAGATACTGTAGCTTTAAAGCAAAAAGTCCTCCCTGGCCTCTGCTCAAAAGTTGAATGGAAAAAAGCCCTTCCAGCCTTGGGGCTGGCTCGAGGCAAAGCCCCCGAGTCAGTCCCCGCGGTTGGGCTCCCGCTCGGTTGTGCCCCGGGAACTCGGTGTCTGCTTTTTCCTAAAAGTTACATCGGTTGTTCTTTTTTTAACGGGCTCTGCCTCTGTAATTAATGATTGTGATTAAGGAATTTAATGTTCAGTTATGGATTTTTCTACATGGTGCCACTAGCCTGCACAAACAGCATTCATCTTGTGTCTTCCTGGCGCCGGGAGGTGGAGGAGTGGCGGTCGCTGCTCTTCCCGTGTCCCACTGCAATCATGGATTTTAGGCTTGACCTGCTCTCCCTGCAGGGGCTTGGAGTGCAGGATGTGTTACCACTACAGTTTTTTTTGCTCTGAAACATCATGTATTTAAAGAAAAGAAGTGCTTGCCAAGCCCAATTGTAGTTTATATTTTTCTAGCTGTGCAAGTCTGTAAATATATATTAAAAAAAAAAAAATCATTGTAATATTTTGTACAAGAAAAAAACACTGGAAACAAAGGGAACTTTACAGAAACTTTTTCACACCAAAATGTCCTATATAGGTAGAACTGGTTTGGAGTGCATTAGGGTAGCCAAATAATTTGGAGCATCCAAATGTTGGGAGTGTTTCAGCTCTGCTGTATCAGGATTAGTGTCCCCCTTAGGTTGCTGTCTGGTTGGAATTGTGATCGCTGCATCCTTTGCTATGTTGCTGTACAGATCTGTTTAAAAAAAAAAAAAAAGTAACAACTTTGGCATTACTCTTGCAGTGGTGTTCTCTCTCAATTTTTTTTTTGTTGCTCCTTTTTAGATTTCTATTATATATTTAAAATTTTGCTCAAGTAATTTAAGCTGACTTAATGCTCTTAAAGACATGCCCTCTAATGTGTATCATTTTAGATATGGATTGAGCTGGGATTTATTGCTGGTAGAGAAGATACTTGCCAGAAAGATGTTGGTGTAGTCAGGCCTCAGAAGTTGTTTCAGGTGAGTCAAGGATGTGCTGACATCCTATGAGTTAACATGCCAGTGCATCACACATTTGGACAGTTGCCCACTCAAGCCTTTGGTCCAATCCCCCCTGATAGGGAAGGGTTATATCCTTTCTTGGAGTTCTCCCCAGTTTGGCGCTTCTGATTTAATGTTCATGTTTGCAGGAACCTCCAATGAAAACTAAATTTGGTAACTCAGATCTATTAAAAATATATCCTTTTGGAATGTTTCTTTCCATTTCAATTAAAGCTCGAATTTTAAGCCGTCTTAATCAAACTGTGATGACTTAAGAGCCTTCATTTCCTGCCTCCATTAGAGCAGCCCTGGAGTCCTTGGGGTGCACCCGTGGGGATGGATTTGTTGCTTCTTATTTTTCATGGAAAAAGTTTTAACTTGTCTTAATTTTGGTGCTTTCCCTTGCTTTGAGAGTTGTCAGAGTTGGGAATCTGCAGCTCTCCTGGTGTTGGCTCCATGTCCCCTGCTTTCTTCTGGCTCTGCAATATGGAAGAACATCCTGTTCCCTGTTTGTGTCGTGAGCTGCCTGGTTTTCAGCCTTAGACAGAACATTGTAGGGTGAGATGAACCGAAATAAGGAGGTGTTGGCAGGTAATAGAGATCTCTCCTTGAAGTCAAAACTCTCAGCCTATACAGACACATTAATGGGGGGGGATATTTTAGGTTTGGGGGTTTTTTTGCATTGTGAACAAAAGCAAATGGGTTTGTGGAGATGGGGGGAGTTGAATATGGACTGCTTGGAAAAGAGCAGGGGAAAATACACAGGTCAAAAAAGGACCAGGGGAGGTTAAAACAAGAGGGTTGTGTTTGCTTCCCCCTCTCTGAGGTGGGGCAGTGGTGTTTTGTGCCCTATCAGACCTCGGGGATGGGGCTGTGGGGGGTTTGGAGGGGGTTGTGCTACTCATAAATCCATCAGCATCCCCAAAGCAGCTCCCTAATCCTTGTTTCAGACCTGGGTGCACACACATGGAGCTGAGCTATCCCATGGACTGCTTTAACTGAAGCCCTTCAAAGGGGCTTTCCCCTTTGGAAAGTGGTGATTTTATTATGGGTAAAATGAATGAGGTCTCTGGAGATGCCTGATTTATAACCTGTGCCTGGAGGGCCGTGTGCTGTGCTCTGGTGCTCCCTGCAGAGCAGCCCCTGCAAGCACAGCTCCCCTCTCCTGGCTCCTCCACGGATGAGAGGCTTTTCCTATGATGCTCCTTGCTGTGGCTACTGCCCCTCGTCCTCCTGCCCTGGGACCTCAGCCCTGGGCATGTGGCACCTTCCTGCCAGACCCTCTGGAACACCAGGCCCGGTCCTTTGGCAGAGCCCAGACGTGATTCCCCTTTGACACACTGGCTCCAGAGCTCCTCAGTGGGGAGGAGGGAAGAGCTTTTGGAGCAGATGGAGACATATGGAGCCCCTGTCTGACACTGGCGTGTGGAGCACTGACACGAGGAGCAGCTCAGCTCCTAACCCCCCACAGCCACGTGTGCAGCTGGGAACCTGCCTCAGGGGTTCCCTGGTGGGAACTCCACTGGCAGTGGGTTTTCCTGAAAAGAAAGAAAAATCAGATGCAAGCTGAATTTTCACTGTACTGCGTCACACAGATCCACCCGGTCCCACCTCAGTGCTGTCCCTGTTGGAGGCTGCTGAGCAAGGATTACAGAACGTGTGTCTTGCATTGACTTCGTTGCCTCAGAGGCTGTGTTTTGGCTTCAGTCACCTCTGCTTCCTCTCCCCTTCCTTCCCCACCCCCTTCAAATAAGAAAACCAGCAATGCTGGAGGAGAAATTCTGGCTGCACTGGGCAACAAGGGGAGAGGATGGCACTTGGAGGAGAGACTTGGAGGTCTTTGCCAGAGATGTCAGAGCAGTTTTGCCCTGCTGCCCCCCTGGTGCAGGGCCTGCTGAGCCTGGTGTCACACACAGAACCCCCCTGGAGTTGGCGTAACAGCCTTTGGGGCCATTTGTCCTTCTGACCTTCACAGCACCCTGTGGCAATGTGTCCCACAACTTAATTCCATGTGAGTGAAAGAAGTGCTTCCTGTTTGCTTTCCAAATTGCCTGAAAGCCCCTGTGGCTCATCTGTCATCCGAAGGTGAGTGATGGCCCCTGCTTTGGCTTGTCCACACTGCCAGTGAGCTCACAGACTCCTCTCCTGTCACCTGTCCCTGTTCAGGCTGGAGCTGCTGGGGTGTGTTTGACCCCATAGGTGGGAGCAGGTGGGTGTTGACATCACCTCAGACACTCAGCCCTGGACCCTTTCCAGCCCTGTGGAGCCTTTGCTGAGGTGAGCACGTGCTGCAAGTGTTTCCTCCTTTTGCTGAATCAAGACCACAAAAGTGCTGCTGCACATGCCCAGGTGAGTGTTTTGGAGTCTGAAAGCAGTGTGGGATGTTTCTGATGGCATTCCCCACCCTTGTGGGGAGCAGGAGGAGGTGATGGGAGTTGTGCTGTGGCTGTGACTGCACTGAGGTTTCAACCTTCCCCTGGGAGTGGGGAGATGGATCAAAGTGACTCACTGGTTTGTGCACTTCGTGTCCCAGCTTCAAAACCCTTCGTGTTGCCTGGGGGATGTTATTCGTTTTTGTACCCAACCTCTGCAGTTTGGATTCAAGAACACTGAAGAGACATTTCAGGCTGTTTCAAGTGAGGTGCCCTCATTTCTGGATAACAGCACTTTCAAAGTAATCCCTGGATCTGGGTTTCCCTCGTGTGTGTTGTCTAGTGTGGGTCTAGAGTGTCTGTCACTCTACAAGTGCACCTGAAGCACTTCTCTGGCCCTCAAGTAGTGCTCTCTCATTTGTAGCCTCAGGTAGCAGCATGAGCATCTCTTGGCTGTTTTGCATTCCCCTGCTGAGCTCTGCCTGGCACAGCTGCCCCACGATGGCCCAGCATCGCTGCTGGTGCGTCCTGCTGCCTCCAGCCTCCTCTTCTCCCTCAGCTTTCCTGTCCCTGGTGTGGAGGGGATGCTCAAGAGGGATGCCAGGGAACCGGGTCCTTCCTTGGGAGACACTTGTTCACCACTGGAAAGGTTGTTTTATCGGAGCAGGAAAGAAATGTTTGGCTGCCTTGTCGAGGCCCTAGCTCTGATTCTCCTGCTGTGTCTCTGCTGCCCGGGCAGGTGATGTGGCTGCACTTCTGGGGCACAAACCAGTGTGTCACGTGCAGGTGTGGGGCAAGGGATGGCAGCGTTGAAGCACTGCAGGTGCCCAGCCCTGCCCCCAGGCGCTGAGGCCACAAGGACACCACAAATCACAAGGAAAGAGTCGTAATGAGCAGAGGTTGGTTTGGGTGGGTTTGTATCTGCCCTGTCCCCTCCTCGCAGCCCCAGGTCGCGTCCCTTCCCCAGGAGACCACTGGTGCCGACGTCAAGCATGGAAAGGAGGCAGGAGCGAGGGGAGAGCAGCAGATGGCACTCGAGCACCAGCCCAGCTCTGCAGTGCGAGCGCTGGGATCGCTTTGGGCTGAGCCGGGTGAGGGGAGCGCGGCCGCTCGGGCTCCAGTCCTTGGAGGGAGATGGGTAATCTTGGGCTATAAGCTGCATCTATAGAATCTTGATTTACATGCTTGGGATGTTCCTCTCTGCTCACGGGTCCAGATTGTATCTCTGCTTGTGCAGGTTTGTCCTTACACAGTGTCTGGACGTGAGATGATAAAGGGAAAGTTACTTTTCACTCGCAGAGACCGACCCCTAATTTGCTTGGGTATTTTCTGGGATTGTGGTGTGTATTTTCCCCAGAGCATTGAAACAAGATTTTTCTTTTTCTTGAATCAGATCATTTCTTCCCCCGCAGCCAAAATGAAGTGAGCTCATTGTGCTCCCACTGAAAAGAGACTTGGTGTGGAGATTGAAAAGCAAAGTTCAGTGTGTTTGTTACAGAGACAACAGCTGGACACGTATGAATGAGTCAGGGAAAAATGGTCCTGTTGAGGTGGTCATGGTGTGTGCTGGGCATGCAGAGAGATCCCCTGGATGAGGAGCTTTGCTCCTCTCATCTCACAGGGGACAGTCCCCTCGGTGTCCCAGCGCTGTTGCTGCTCCTTGCAGGGCTGTCGCTGCCCCGCAGGGCTGTTTGGAGGGACAGCTGAGCTTCCAAGCATACAAGCCCTGACCCCGGATTCAGACCATGCTCATTCTCCTCTGGACCCCTGGGAGACTTCCCTGTGGCAGCTGAGGTGGGACAAGCCCCCTGAGGTGCCACAGCCTGTGTCAGGCTCTGCTCACCTGGGTTTTGCCCTTGAACATGACAAGACATCTGGGCTGGGTTTGCCCAGGAATGGGGTGGAAGCACTTGCACAGTGTCTGCTGAGCACCCTAGCCCCTGGCTGTGTGTGCTGGACTCTCCTGTTGTTGAGAATGGGGAGAAAAAATCCACTTGTGAGTGCCCAGCTCTCTCATTTGTGAGACCCATACAAATCCATGGATTTTTGTCAGCAGCTTGACCTCTCGGGCACAGTTCTGGCTCTGCAGCAAAGAGCTGCCCACGTTCTTCCTCTTGCCTGACTCTTCTGTAATGGAAGGGCTAAATGCTTATTACTTTTTTGTAGCCTTTTCCAGTTGCCAATCAAACATGTCTGGTTTGGGGTTTGTTTTGTTTCTGTGTTGCTGGGACTTTGCAGGATGCTCTCTCACTGTAATTATGGTTCCATCATTGTCTTGGCACGATAACATCTGCTGTCCCTGTGATCTCCCCTTCCCACTTCTATTTCTTTTGAGCATTTCATGGATCCTGATGACCTTCTATTTTCCATAACATCTCATGCATCTCAGTGTACACAGCTGTTTCTCTTGCA